GATGGGATGCTAATCCATTGCAGAGTTACCCCCAGCATTAAGTTCGCCGGTACCCATTTATACACCTGGGTGGAGAGAGGCACTATGAGAGTAAAGTGTCTTGCCCAATCTGAACACAACGCAATGTTGCTGGCCAGGATTCGAACCCTGACCGCTCGATATGGAGACGAGCGTACTAACCATGAGGCCACTGTGTGCACCTCCCAGTCTACTTAGTGTTAAGTATATAATTATGAACTGAAGAGTACTTGGCCCCATCCCTGGATCAATACCACAGAGCTTATATTTAGGCCTATTTCTTATTTGGTTTCATAAGCTCTTTAAGTCCAATATAAGCTCAAGATTAGTATGCTAGCTAATAAATGGCAATATGGTAAAGTTTCTACAGTCTTTAAAGTTATCAAACAACAATAAATTTGCTGCAGGTGCGTTTTAAGGCTTACAGTTTTACCCAGCACGCAGGGTTTTGGCCCAAACCCTGAAAACATTGGACTTAGGAGTACCCACATGAACAAGGAGTTATGTACTAAATAAAGCAAAGTATAAATGGTTTCACACTTGAAACTGATTGCAGGAGTGTTCAATACAAATACATGAAATGAATTAAAAATAGAAACTGTAAGATGACAGTTACACCAGTTTAACACACTAAGCGGTCATCAGACTGTGCTGTTATCAGCAGTAGAAATAAAATTTAAACTGACAGACTCATGGAGGGCAGGTTGGTAGGTAGATCTCCACTACTAAACAAAAAATCTGAGTTGGCTACCACAAAATTAAAACAAATTCTATGTGGCCAATCAGAAGCAGGATCACTCCAACTGTCCTCCATGTGTGTACATTAAGCTATGCACACAAGGTGGTCTCAAACTATGTACAATTTTAAAACATTCTTGGCTGTGAAGTGAGTTGTTTTAATGCACCCTTTTAACGATGTCACACAATATCAACGATTTTCCGAATATTTCATATAAACAACAACAACAAAAAACACCTCCAGAGTTCAATTTATCATTAAAATTTAGTAAATAAGCACAATTTCATAAAAAATGTAAACTTTTGAAAATGTGGGACCCCAAACGTGCCAATATTTATTTATAATAATATTTAACAAAATTAATATAAAAAATTTTTACAACCTGACTTTCCATAAAATGATCGATTGCACTTTACATCAAACACATTAAACTAATCCTAAAAAACATAAATTTACCACATATTTCTTTCTAAAAATTGACAAGTTTGGGGTAACACATTTCAACGAGTTTGCAACGGATTCTCATGAGAGGAAATTGGGAAAGCGTGACATCAGTAAAAATGTCCATTATATTTGTTTTGAGCTAATTCTGTTTTCCTGAGATCGCTGTTTCACTTGTGTCCTTTCATTTTACCTGTTAGCCGAGTTGCAGCATTAAGGTTAGATGTCGCTTTATATTTTCCAGATCGTAAGCTTACTGTATTTTATCGTAGCTTCGAGTCAAGTTTACAGTGTTTATAAACAGACTTGTTTACTCGATCCTGGGGTAACCTTTTTATGTGGTCGGTTTTTTAACGGTCAGACGATCGCCAAGAATCACACTTAGCGAAAAAAAACATATATATGTATTCATCTGTCCCATCACTGTCTGTCTACGGTGATTTAGCTCATTCAAGGACATTTCATCCCATACAGCGACGTACCTCGGGGCTAGCTTGGTGAAAACTAATGGTAATATAGAGAATAAAAGAATAAAAGCTTTACCATATGGCGGCTGACTCCGTAATGTTAGCGCTATACCATTTGCAATGCTTGAAAGACCGTTTAAATTCCATTTATCATCGTCGTCGTCCAAAGTGTAGGCCTTTCCCTGAGGTAGAGGCGGGTAATCCGGCTCACTTTCGACATATTTCACGTGAAGCAGAACATAGAAAAACATCAAGATCTGCATTACAGACGATTTCGAATCAGTTCTGTTTTGCAGTTACATGTAACATGAACATCAGCTGAAAAAAGTGATATCGCCGGCCACAGAGGACCGAAAAGGACCACAGAGCTTGAAAGGAGTACGTCCTGTAATTGTGCACAGTGCAAACATAGTTGTATAGTAATTCAACCAATGACATTTTGGAAAATATACTTTCCTGAAAAGCATCTGTCAAGTGATAACAAGCTGTCCCGCAATGCTTTGTTGCCATGCCAGGGATTGCGGGCTGGGGGAGGGATGGGAGGGGAGGTAAAGGAGTACTGTAAAGTCATTTTAACTTTGTTTCTTAAATCATCGCATCCTCATAGAAGTCATATACATTTTTTTCAATTTTAGGCATGCTGCTTTCGAACCATGAACAAGTTGAACAACGAATTCGGCACTGATGAAGGCTCATTATCATCATGGAAGACAATCCGACTTAGCAAATTTATCACTTTATTACGTGACTGGGAAGATTACGTGTCTTCATTGTCATTGGTCGAGAGCAAGCCAATTTATCGTTAATTCTTAATTTGCACTGCAATGCAAATTAACGGGTATAACTTCGAGAAAAAAAAAATCTCCTATTTCCCAACGACATAGTTTCAAGGATGGCTCCCGGGGGATAGCTGTCCCGTCTTATTAGCCCATTAAGGTCATCTCGGGCAGCCATGTACTCTTTTTTATTTCAAACTCATTTTTGTTCATTTAATTTTTAGCTGAGTGAGTACAAATAAAGTTGTTGTTCAGTGTTGTTGTTGTTTCACTTGTGCTTTAACATCGCAATATGTCTCCCTCCCATCGCAACAAATAATCATAAGTACGCAGCTATACAAAATATGGCCGACGCAACCTTCCAAGAGTTATAACTTTTTTGAATATTTTGAAACGAAATTATCTGAATCAGTGCATAAACGACTGCAAAAGCAATGACGCATTTATTACGCAGACAAATCACACCATCCAACTAAGAAAGCATTTTTCAACTTCTGGTGTTCTAGTATTACCCTCAAACTAGCAGAATCGTAAGTTTATTAGGTCGTTGGTTCATCGCAGTTAAACAGAATCACTCGGCCGATAGCCGAAATGTTTACAATTCTACAAATAGCCTGCTGTGCAGGCGTTATTTTGGAGCGGAACGCTAGACTAACCAGGTTCTTGGATTGTAATAGGATGCTTGACCGGTAGCAAAATAAATCCTCCAGCAGCCATAGTCAACTATCACGCATAGAAATCGAGAGCGAATAATCTAATTGTTTTAGTATAAATCTACTAGTCGTTTAAAACTTTACTGCTAAATCCTCTTCACAGACACTTCCAAAACGCCAAGAAGCGGCTGTCATTTCGTTAACAGGGGCACACTGCTTAGTCTCCTCCGCAGCCGTTTTTTGGGATGTCACGCAACGAGGGGGAGCGTTGCGTGACATCCCAAAAAACGGCTGCGGAGGAGACTAAACATTGCTACGCTACTCACCATCTATCACAGATTTGCGCCCGAGTCAACTATCGCCCGATAGAAATCGAGAGCGAATAATCTAATTGTTTAATAGATAGTGAGTAGCGTAGCCAATTAGAGAACGGCTTTCGTGATGGAACGCCAGTAGATTTATACCAAAACTCGACAAAACATGTTTTCTATTTCTTTTAGAAAACACCGCGACGAAAATAAAGAAAACAGCTTGTTTACTTGATCATCAAAATGTAAATGCTCTTTACTCGTGCCATCATTGCATCAACAGCTCATGTTAGAATAGTTCTGTGTTTCTATCGAGTTTGCCGCGGTGTTCCTCCAGTCAAACATGTTTGCCTGTCGATGAAAGACTGGGTCCTAGGAAACCAACCAAATTAAACAAAATGGCGTCGATTTCCAGATACCAAATAACTACCAGAAGTTCAGTCTGAGACTGTATCTTTCCTCCGGGAAACAATGTCAGTCAGAGAAGCAAACAGTGCACGGACAGGTAATTTCAGTTTATATACATCGTTAACGGCAAGCCGGGGAAAAGACTTCGAACTTGGCGAAGAAGATTTACCGGAAACTTGCAGCATAAAGAGCGAAGATTTAAATCCGCCATTGTCGTCAGGCTTTGTAACTTTGTCCCTGCCTCCGTTGCACGAAGCAGCTGAGCAAGGTGATTCTACTGCTGTGTCGAGGCTGCTTTTGGATAAAAATGTGGATGTGAATGAAAAAGCTGGAGGGCATCGCGCATACAGGACAGCTTTGCACCGAGCTGCTGGATATGGGCACCTTGCAGTTGTCAGGCAGCTCCTTAAGGTGAGCTTAACTGGAATAAGGGTTCATTGCATTTCTATCGATTCAAAATCACTGTCATCCGGATTTGTAAATGTAGCAAAAAACAAACCTGCCAATGGTGTCTGTATAAAATATCCAGGGGATATGTGGTCGGGAAGACCTTGTTTTGATCAGAAAGTCAGTGAGGTACATGAAAGCCTTAATTCATGAGCTTACAAACGCTTAACTTGTGATAAGTGTAGGTCGGCTATTGCAATAATTCCTTTTCAAAGATATCAATCGATTATCAATTCCCAAAGTTTATGACAATATTTAACGATACTTGAGGATTCGTGATTGGGAATTGGGGAGGGCTTGATATCAAAACTTAACGGGGGGAGGGGGGTTGGGGGTACTAACTACAGTTCATTCAGAGCAATGAGAATCATAAATCTCTCTAGGCAGGAGCAGATCCTATGAAACGTAGTAGTGTGCAGAGGACACCACTCCATGAAGCATGCATAGGTGGACACAAACATGTGGTGAAGGAACTGCTCAAGTATGTCGCAGATATCAATGTTGTAGATTCAAATGGACAAGCTAGTGCTCATCTAGCTGCATATCATGGTGAAGCTGAATGTTTGAAGGTCCTGATTGCGAATGGGAGCAGTATGGCTCTTGAGGACAAACAAGGACGGTCTCCAGCTCACCTGGCAGCTATGAAAAATCATCCAATGGCACTGAGGTATGAATATAATGTAATAGTACCAATGGGTATTTTTTCAGTAAGTTTGATTTCTCAATACTTTAAACCCAGCTTTGACAGGTTTTTCAGCAGTCAGTATAAAATCCAGGCTGCGGACTGGGGGTACAATACTGACTGAGGGTAAAATGCAGACTGCAGACTGTAGAATTTTTAACTGAAACATTTCATCATTGAGAGCTAACTGTAAACAGGTGAACCGGAGCATTATCCAGGCTAATCTGAGTGATATTCAGGCTAACTTGACTGCAGACTTTTTCTGATAGATGATTAGCTTGAATAACCCTGTTTATTAGTTAGCACTCCAGAATGGAAGTAACACAATATATACTTCAAAAGTCTGTAGTCTACAGTCTGCATTTTACCCCTGGTCTGCACTCTGCATTTTATCCTCAGTCTGAATTCTATCCCTGGTCTGCAGTCAGCGGTATGCGGTTACACTGACTGTTTTTTTCAGTAGCCCAACAGTTTATGCACTACACTTTGCATTCTGTTGGGATCTATGGGAAAGCCTTTCTTCACCCAGATATACCTGTATGGTACTGGCAAATTTAATCCTGCACTCCATCCAAGGGGAGAGTAGAATACTCCTACACTGTAGATGCCTCATGCTGTGGAAACTTTAGATAAGAACCAGGTTGATGGGCCACTTGTCTCAAATGCAGATTTCCCTGTAAAACATATGTTTTTCCCCCAAAAGCATGGTAGTTCTGTACCTCGTTAGTTTTATTCACAAAAGTAGTTATTGGATATCAGTGATAAAAAGGTACTTGGCCTGTCAAAAAAAAAAACATATATTTTTGATATTTACACTGTACTTCAGGTGCCTAATTGAGAATGATGTGGAGGTAAATTGTGTTGATGATCAAGGACGTACACCTGCCCACTATGCCGCAAGTGCAGGTGGTTTGGATGCCTTGAAAGTGCTTGCTCACAATGATGTCGACGTTAACTCAAGAGACACTGTGGGCTTTGTTCCAGCACATCTTGCAGCAGCAAATAATAACTGTTCTTGTTTGGTGTTCCTGTTGGGTTCAGGGCTTGCTAAAATGGAAGTAAGGGACAGATCTGGGAAATCATTACTACACGTGGTAAGGGACTGTGTAACTGAAGGATGGTAGCTACCAGGGGTAGCTACTACATGCATGTAGCACAGAAAATGAAATAGCTTATGGTACATCTTGTTGTTTTATTTTGTATTTGGTTTAAAATTGTTCAGATTGGTTTGATTTAATTTATTGTTGTTGTTGATATTATTATTATTTCATTTTTCCTGGGTGATTGTCACATATTGCAGTCTGTGCAAAATAACAGTTAGCAGAAAATAATCAGAAAATACAAAAAAAGAGGTACTAATTAAAAATGTGTTGGGTGGAATTGATATATAACAAATTAAGTGTCAAAAAAATTGGAAATGCTGTTGAATGGTGGTGCAACATCCCAAGTGTTGTAATCACTCTTAACTGTATATTTTAGCAAAAACTATCAAATAGTTGGTGCAAATTTATGAAGTAAATGTTGAAGGTGCTCTGCTGCACATCCTGTTGTCAGCTCTCTTGTGGATGTTTAGAGAGTGAAATATGGTCTCTCATGTTTGATATAATCACTTTTCAAGGTTATTTCATGCCTGCTGGCTCTACATCAAGTAATGTACAATAGGCAACAACTTGTTTGCCACTTTGGTTTTCTCCTTTGACACTTTCTAGCCTATGATAATACTTGTTTGATTTTGATTTCCAGGCCGCACAACATGGTGCTACAGAATGTGTTCACTGGCTGCTTGAGCATCGAGCTGGTCCAAACATCAGAGATGGTAAATAATAATTAAAGCCCTTTTAATTCCTTTTCTGTTACACATGTAACTAGCCTTTTGAATTAAGTTTAGTTGAATTGTTGTTTTAGGTTGTGGTGCAACTCCAGCCCACTTGGCTGCATCAGGAGCTCATTTACAATGTCTGAGTTGCCTCATTAAACATGGCGCTGACATTGATGCACAAGATGCCAGGGGTGACGCGCCTCTAGATTTTGCCAAGCACACAGGGAATCCTAACTCATTTCTTAAAGCAGGTACTTCTCCTGTTCTTAAATGTCACTAAAAATATTGGTTCCATGAAAAGGAACCTTCCAGTCAAGGACAGCAAAATGGAGCTATTGTGTGGTGCTTAAAGGCTTTTTCAAACTGAAAGTGAAAGACCTTACTTTGTGTGCCTAGTGAACAGTAAAAAATAATGTCTCTTTACCATTGGTTTACTTGACAGATTTATGCATTCAGCCTAGCTGGGGCAAAAGTTTCTTTGCATGTGGTCAAAAAATATTCAAATTTTCCCTGTTTTTTTTTTTTTTCAAAGTGGCACACTGATAACCTCAGGGACAGTGTTATGATAGTGTTGTCATTATGCCAAACTCTCATAAGGGTTAATGCAAAATATTATTTTGTAACTTTGCAGTGAGGATAATTTTACGGTTGATTTTTGGCATGCACTCTAAAAGCATTGAAACTTCAGTAATGAAATGAGTACTTTTTTCAAGCAAGCATTTTCATATTGTTTTAATTCCAGTGAACAGTGAAGTTCCTTGTAAATTTTGTGTTTCCAAGCAACGGAAAATTGAATATGACCTGGCCCACCAACCAACACCTGTGGAGAGAAATATCATTCAACAGGAATCAGAGATATTTCTAACACCTGAAAGCTCTAAAGAAAGGTAAACTATACATACCAGTTACTCTGGGCATGCTCACCACTGTGTCATAACTGCGTCCCTAAAGTATTATGTGTCTCCGATTCCAGAACCTTGCTCTTTTCTTTGCCAGCATTTTTCTGTCTTTCTCATTTGATATTTTGCCATTTAAACACACTAAGGTGTGATTACATTCTTGTGTTAGGTCCAGATTGTGTCTTCCATATTTACCCTATCTGAGATCGATTACGTTCTCTTTTCAGCGATCCCAGAGACCTACATGTTCGTTCATCCCATTCTTCAAAGCGACTTGGGTTCAAATCAAGCGGTAGCCCTCAGCAAATTCCCCCAAAACGAGACCTGGCAACCAAATACTTTGGAGAGCATCTCTTCTCGCTTCCAGTGAGTGTCACGGTGTCAGAGTCAGGGTTGAGTACCAACAAGACTCGTCGAAAGAGATAATTCTTAATAACAAAGAATGTCGAAGGTTGTTTCCTGTATCAAGTATCTGGAAATGACAATCCCTCTCGAAACTAGACATAGTTTGTATATTTTGTATTTTAGACAATCTTGTACTTTGCGGGATTTTAAACTGTTACAGATTGGTGGTATGAAGATAGCGTCACCCTCCACACCAAACACAAATTCACCAGCCACTTTCAGAGATACTCAAAGCTAGTAACAACAATTATTTAAGTTAACTTTGTACATATCCACAATAAAATATGCTTTCGTTTGTTATTGTACGTCTATAGCTTATCAATGTTAATTCAAGTAAGTGTAGCTTCTATTTCAAAATTTTTTCGGCATTGTTTAAATCGTGTAATTTCACCTTTCTGCTGTGCTTGTACCAGCTTACCCATTCATACACGGTATGTGCATTCCAGAACCCTATTCTGGTGTCCTTGCAGCTTTCACTCTCGCCAAATCCTCTACCGCTACTTCTGTAAAATCAGGGCTGTTCGCCTGATGCTAAAGTACCGTGCCCCCAACCTTGCGATCTGCCATGCCTTACAATTTCAACTCCTGCGATATGTGTCGTACCGTCCCCCGCCCCAGTGCCTATTGTAACAGACATGATCTATTTGTTAAACAAAGACATCATCTGTCGTTTTACAACCCAAGGAAATCATCAATTTTACCTTACTAGATGTACGGTAGATGTAGGAAGATCTGTTGTCTCATCTGTTATATCTTGTGTTAATCTTGAAATGAAACAGAGGTTTTCTATTCATTCGCACTAAAAGTTTCCTATGTATTTTTGCGTGTAAACTACCTTTAAACAAGCATCCCGTGTTTGCCAAGATTAATTGTTGTATTGACTTACTCAATTCGGTTACAGCGAGAGGAACAGAGGAAACAGAAACCACATTTGTTTAATAGAACTTTCCCGCATTTCAACAAACAATGGCACCTAGTCGAGGTCAAGGTTGACAAAATTACAGGAAATGTAGGAAAATGTCCACCCCAACCTCGCTCTTGTGCTATTGTTCCTACGCACTGAAATGGAATGCGGTAGAGGTCTATTAGCCCAGTTGATGCAGAACACTTGTCTAAACTGAAGTTCCTGATAAAAGAGAGAGAAACAGTAAATAAGCGCGTTACTGACTTTAGAAGCGTGGGGGCGATAATTAGGCGTAATCCAGGACTGCAACAAATGTCAACAAACTCGGTCATTGGGAACAAATGGGACTTGACATAGTAATGACAATTACTATGAGTGCAAATTTCACGTTTATCCGAGGCAAGATGATTGACAGATTTCAATTTTTTTTTTATCTATCAAGCATGTATTTTGCAAACAGGTAGGCAACCAAACAAGTGTTACATGTAAGTAAACAAGAGCCAGACAGCACCCTGTCTATCCTATTCTAAACTGAGAGTCAACGAATCATTGCTGTCTCCACGGGAGATTGTTATGAGAATGGAAATTCAAGATGAACCTGAAGTCACCGCGTGGACATGCATGAGAACTACCCAAAAGAGTGACGATCGCAGATTACGAGTGACGTCATGAACATGTAACGTCTTAATTATGCTAGGCTATAATCACATTGTATAAAGCCTATTTAGCTGTTAGTATAAGACTGATTTTGGTCGTGCGAAATCTCAAGTGAATTTGAACCTCTAGAGGAAACATAAATTAACGATCTTTTGACATCGCTAAGCTGTGGCCAACTTTGTCGTAAGGACCAAGTAGTATGTGGGACGCGTGCAATCGGAATGGCGAGAATTAAGCTATTCGCTATTTTAAGACTTATTCATGAAATATCAAAGATATCGCTTAGCCTGCGCCAATATGGGGAAAGATCATCAACAACGAAATAACAATCCGCCGTAACGCTTCTCGAAATTTCTTCTTCACTTCCACACATTTCACTTATTTCGTTCAGCAACAAGAACTACTGTCTGATTTACTTTCGCGCCATCCTCGGACAAAACCCAGGGGTAGTACGTTTATAATCGGGGCGCGAATAAAACTCTTTTCTTCCTTTTCAATTTCTACGAATTGTCGGCTCCTTTCCTAAACAAGCGCCCCAGACTATCAATAAGTACATTTGGAGTTCTTGAGAGTCAATGGGACGTGAGTTGGGTTTACAACAAAAACGTTCGTATTGTGGCCGTGTTCGTGTTACATTTATTGCGTTGTTTCTTTTACATTTCTTTTTTAAAATCCTTTTTTTACGCCTACCACTAATCGATTAACACATTGAAAAATAGCGGCAATTCTTTTAACAGCGTTACTTGTCTGTTTAACGAAAAAAAGTAAAGTCTCGAGTTTTGCACTCTTGCACTTTCCATCAGTGGGTAGACTGAAAAACAAAAGAAAACGGCCAAGATAAAAATTCCTGTGTTACACTAACTTCGAAATGTAGCGTAACTATTTTTCTTTTAGATGTTTGATTTAATATATTGTTATCAGTACTCTAACGTAAGTTACATTACGAGTTTGGAACCGTTTTAGCCTGAGCTAGGTTGATGTGCCAACAATAATGTATTTTTTCCTATAAAAATTATATTTTCTCAAAAGCTGTTCTGATCAACAACAACAACAACAATTATCTTTATTTTCTTTCATTGTAAAATTACATGTCATTTGACCCGCGGATAGCAAGCGCTAATCTAGGCGGGCCATTTATCGCTTATGCATATGAGTAGACTAATTGAATAACAATAATAATTAATTTGACATCAATGGTATAGTTAATATTGTTATCGTTTCTACATATTAAGACTACTAAAATAAAATCAGGGGAGAATAATGAGAGAAGACATTGACTCTAATTTCTTAAAAGATTTCAGTTTATGAACAATCTCGTGTATCTGAAGAAAAGCATTTTCTTTGTCCAGTATACTTAGTAATTCATTTTTAATTCTAGCTTTGAAAGACTTTTTTGGAAGCTCTCTTAGATTACGTGGTATCTCATTCTATAGTCTGGCACTGACTCTTGAGAATGCATTTTTTTGTAAAAGGCTTTTATGTAAAAGTTACTAGAGGTAGAGGAACGGGTATTGTAAGATTGGACGTCAGATTTTTTCATAAATAAACTATGTATTTTATTCGGCGCTGAGGCAGTATTGACATCATGCCTTAATTCAGACAAACCTTCGTAATATAAAGAGTGTATGGGTAGAAGTTTAGTCTTGATAAATAAAGGAATAGAGTGGTCACTTTTCTTTCGAAAACACATAAAACGAAGAGCACGTTTCTGTAACAATAATATTTTATTTAGGCGAGACTTACAAGCCTGACCACAAACAGATAATCCGTAGGTAATGTAGGGAGAAATTATGGATTGGTAAATGGTTAGCAGAGTGCGAAAGGGAACAAAGTGTCGTATTTTTTAAATAATACGTATAGTTTTACTTATTTTTAAAGCAACGTATTCAAAATGGGTCTTCCAAGAAAAAACTGAGAAACTGAGAAACAGGGAACGAACTTACCGAGGTTAACGGCCTCCATCCCCACCATCACCACCGCCAGCGCCACCGCCGCCACCACCACCGCCTCCGCCACAACCGGGACGTCCAGGAGCACCAGGACGACCTGGACTTCCACCCCCACCACCTCCGCCGCCTCCGCCACCGCTAGGAGCAGGAGGTTCGCCAGCGTCAGCACCATCAGCACCGCAACCGCCTCCGCCTCCGCCACCACCATCACCAGCATCACCAGCATCACCACCATCGCCACCTCCACCTCCACCGCCTCCACCACCACCAGGGCCACCATCTCCACCGTCACCACCACCGCCGCCGCCGCCTCCTCCACCACCATCGTCAGCATCTCCTCTATCGCCACCGCCACCACCTCCTCCGCCTCCCCCAGGGCCACCGCCACCGCCCTGACCAGAGTCCCCACCACCGCCACAGCAGAGCACTATAAAAAAATAGAACGATAGAATGAAAAAAGGCCTTGTAAGGGGCTGATATCATCTCTTCTGGTATGACACAGGAGGTATACATAACTCAATTAAGATTACTTGAGTTTATCACTCGGCAATAATCGGCTCTGTTTTTTATTTTAATTTAACGAGACTGAAAGAGGGCATTACCAATAAATGACCTTCGACTGCTGTTTTCACACTAGATTTTGTGATTTACAAAAGTACTAAGAACTACTTTTATTAGCGCTATTTTCACCAAAATAATAGCACTTTTTAAGTAGTTTCAAAAGAGACAATATCAAAGAAATATTCATTATGATATAAATTAATTCTAAACCGGCAAAACATGAAAATGATCATCCGAAATAAACACATGTACACAAAAAGGTTCGTAAAGTTCTTCTTTTGAAAGCGTCAGTTGCATTCCGACATTGACGAGTGCTGGGCGCAGAAACCCCCGCTTTTAAGGATATAAGTTTTAAGATATAGGGCGCATTCCAAAGGAGATTATTTTGATACGAACGAACTCGTCTTTATACAATCAACACCAGTTTTGATCAGCCGCCTGCCGATTTTTTAATTGTTATCAAAACAATTACCATTAGCGGCCAATCTGAAAAATAGGGGTCACGTTTTCAACTTTGCTCTTGCAAATTACAAATCGTTGTCTGCTTGAAAAGATGTATTATTAATTGGGTAACCACATTTGCGGAAGGCTGATGTAATTCTTTAGCTAGGTCGTCTAATAAATCACCCTTTAAGTACCGTGAACTAACCTTCCTGACACTTCATGATTCCCAGTACCAAGGTTATGACAAGCAAAAGTTTCATGGTGGACGCTGTTGAGTTCCCAGCCTGCCAACAACTGAAGATGCAATTTGTGGGGACAGCACGCTGGATATTCAGTGTCTATATATCGTTTGTCGGTTATATTAGCTCGCGAGAAGAAGAGCTCATTAATCATAGCCTTTTCTTTAATATCAGCTTGTTTTTTGCTAAGGTGACATTTTTTTTTTAGCACAACGAGAACTTTACTCCGTGATTCCGCAAATAAACTCATCAATTGCAAGCAATCACAGGCTAACTAATAACCAGCCTTAGCTTTGGTGGTGGTCGTCTTTGGAACAATCCAGACCAAAAAATCAGGGCAAGTGAAATCTCTCAACGTGGAATTTGAAGAACTGGAACATGATCAAATTAATAATTATTATGTAAATTTTTAGTAGCAAGGTATTCTTAGAAAGCCTTTTAGACATTTGTATTACAATTATGGCAGCGTTAATGACGCGTATAAATTAGCTAAATTTAACTGCAAAATATAAACTTAAAGTGTGTTTAAATTTGCGAATTTTCATGCCATATTTTAGTAAACCCGATAGTTATGCCAGATCAATATCTCTTGTTCTGTTAACAGTGTTCTAACCTACAGGCTGCCACACCTAATGTTCGAAACCCCTTACGACAAATTGTCAGAAAATACGTCAAGATTACAACCAAGTTGTCGTCTTACAAATCCAGTTAAGATGAGATGAGATCGTACTAGAACATTATTTAAGTTTAATGTAATTCATATTTGACCTCAAAGTGCGGATATTGTTATGGCGCCCCGGGACCGGGTTGAGCGAGAGCCGGTGATCGCAGATGCAAAACACAGAGTAGATGTTCTGGCGATGGCTGAGTACACCGACCTAAACTTGAAAGACGAGGAGACCTCTAGTCGCTTCGTTGCAGGAATTGTTCTGCTTTATCCATTGCCATACACGTCATGAATCAATGGAATCATTCCAATCACTAGCCTCACATGGCATTTATGCATGGGAGACTCCAATTTAACTGGACGGGATGCTCCTCGTACCTTTTAGGGGACGAAAAAGCAGTTTTGGTGCCTGTCAGGGTGTTCAGCCTCAAAAGTTTCACAGCGGGAGCTTTGGCGGCAACTTTTAGGATATTGAGCAGAAAAAAAAATATGACAGGGGATATTTGACAATGAACTGATTTTTAATATTGTCTCAGTTACACCGGAAATTCACAACTCATCAATAAATGACTGCACAGTCAGTTTGGATAACGAGGCTTTTAAATTAATCGCCATGCAATTGTCTTTATCGCTATCAAAAATTATGAGTGTGTCAGGTAATTTGTTGTTTCAGAATTGGTGCCTCTTAGGGGTGAAAAAAGTTCAAGCCACACCCACAAAACAGGATCTTAGTACCACACTTAGGGGTTCTTTTCAAAGTTCACCCCCCGTTTCAAACTACTACAGGCTAACATGTGATAAAGTACAAGGCTGTCTACAAGTATTTTGCCTCATTATTACTGTCAGGCTAATAACAAGAAAATGTGTCAGTACAAGCAGGCCAGTAATGTTAGTGTAACATTTAATGTGTTGCTTTTTTAGATCACGTTCCACCACAAATATTATATAAATTGAACCATAGATCTGTAATGTGTTTAGCCGTATTGCTTTTTTGTTAAAAGAAAGAAATTAGTCTTGGTAGTGGGTGTTTCATTCTTGTTCAGTCATCATTTCCATCAGAGCATACTCGGTAAAGCCTGGGAAAGATCAGGTGTTAGAATTGAGATCTATATACTCTCTTAATGCTTGGTTTGATCTGATATTTTGTTTCCTTTCCCCTGCTTTGTGGAAATAGGCGACGGTTATTTAGTGCCAAATCGGATTAATAGATTTTGCTTCATTGCTAGGAAATAGGGGTATAAAAAGCCGATTGTAAGAGGAAGGTAAACTAGTTGCCGACAGAAGTTGACGGGTAAAGTAGAAATTTGAAAGTAAATACGGTAAGTTATACACTTCAATCTGGAATAGAGCGGAAGAACTTTGAGAATCAGACGACACCCACACCCAAATATCCGAGGAGGTAAGCTTCTTCCTTCGTTTGAGAGAGGATTGCACTGCAAGTTGGTATTTTTTTTATTTATAATCTGAAGACGTGAACCCGTTGGTTCATTCGCTCGTTCGTTCACTCGCTCGATCTAGTGTCAAACTAGATTAGGTGTTCTCTCAACGTAATTTTCATGTCACCAAAGAAAACTGTTACATTTTCGAAAAAGGACGGGTTTCTCTACAGTGAGCAATTCTACTCATCCTGCAAAAAAGATCAAATTAGTTGCTTAAGATTGCAGCCGCCATCACTGCCACCATCATCGATCGTTACTGTGAGCATCACCACCTGCAAACCCTGAGACTGAAAAAAATAAAAACTAAAGCTACCTCCTCTTGAAAGACGCTTAACTACGCTACGATTGGTTTAAACAAATCTAATAAAATGCTGGCAGTCTTGTAATGTTCCGTAATATAATGGTAGCTATTTTCAGCATCGAGAATCGATTGACTCTGGTGAAAATATTCTTTTGTGCGCATCAAATCAGTGACGAAAGCGGCTAATGCGAACGGCATAGGGCCGAATTTTCAATGTAATTTCAAATTTCTTTCCAATCTTGTAAAATTTTGTGATGACAACTTTCTTTGAGAAAGCGTGAGTGCCTGAAATTTCTGCGAAAAAACCTGTTTATATTATATTGGGTAAAACTTGAAGAGAGATCAACCCATGTTATGGCTATATACAGCTTGTTATCTATCAAACGATCTGTTTACAAAGGGAAAACTTTGGGAGCGCTACTGTAGTGTGGGTTTATGTCAAGTGCTAATTTTCAATCAGAGGAACTAAAAGGACACTACTTACCAAAGTTTCCACCTGGCGCAGTACGGCCGACGCCACCGGCACCGGCACCGGCACCGGCAGCACCGCCACCGCCGCCACCACAGCCAGGAGGACCACCACCACCTCCGCCGCCTCCACCACCACCAGGGCCACCAGCACCGCCGTCACCACCGCTGCCACTGCCATCACCGGGAAACGGGAGAGAGCCACAGCCAAGCACTGTAAAAACAAAATGAAAGAATAAAAACTGCCCTTGTGAAGGGCTGAGGTGATCTCTTCCGACGTTTAAGATACGCACACTCGTCAAGATAAAAAATTCTCGATTCAGCAAAAATCGGACAGGTATTTGTTCTCACTTGGATAAGGTAATTCATCTTCAATTGTCATTTTCACTCGAGATTTAGTGATTTACGAAAAAAGATTTAAACATGCGCTATTTTCCCAATTATGATAGCGCTTTACACACATTTTCAAGTATGAAAAACGATACTAAAATCAAATTTACTATGAAAAAAAAAAGTAAGCTAGCATCTAGTACTAATAAGTAAACGTAAAAAAATTAAGTATCAGTTTAAGTAACGCAGCAAACAACTTCCCTAATAAGTTTTGAAATAGTAAGACAAATTCCGAAGCATACGAATGAACTAGTGTTTTTGGAAACAGCACCGGTTTTGATCAGGCGCCTGCTATACGATTTCTCATCAAAAAGGAATTGCTATGAGCGGCAAATCTGAAGAATGGGGCCTGACCTTTTTAACTTTATTCTCGCCAATTGCAAAGCGTTGTCTGTTTGAAAAGGTGTATCATGAATTGGGTAACAACATTTAACGCAGGCTAATGTCATTCTCCGGGTCGTCTAATAAATCGGTCCGTTTAAGTACTGTCAACTAACCTTCCTGACACTTCATGATTCCCAGCCCAATGCTATGACAAGCAAAAGTTTCATAGTGGACGCCGCTTGAGTTCCCAGACCGCCGACAACTAAGGACGAAATTCGTGGGAACTGCACGCCGGATATTCAGTTTTTTAGCTTGTTTTTTTTTTTCTTTTCTTTTCTTTTTCGCTAGGGTGACATGTTTTGGCATTACGGGCACTTAACTCCGTGATTCGGCAAATAAACTCACCAAGCAACACACAAACCGCGAGCTAAGAAACAGCCATTTCTTTGGTGGTGGTCGCCTTTGGAACAATCCAGTCCAGAAAATCAGTGCAACTAAAATCTCTCAATGTTAAGATAAGATAGGCTAAGACAACAACCTCCGCATTTAAGTTCAGTTCATTGTCATTCATATTTGACCTTAAAGTGCGGATATTGCTATGGCACCCCAAGGCCCTGTTAAGCGAACAGGTGATATTTTTTCGTGGGAAGGGCAGAGGAACAACTGAACAAGATTTCTTATTGCGGAATATCACTGAACAGGTTAACGAATGGCAAGCGACATTGTATCTGAACTCCGTAGATTTCGAGAAAGCTTTCGATTCCATCCACCGTGAAAGCCTATGGATCATTACGAAGAAGTATGGTATCCCAGAGAAGATACTGAGAATGGCAAAAACATTTTATGAAGATTCGAGTGTGCTGTAGAAGACCAAGAAGTAACGTGTGATCGGTTTGACGTACGAACTGGAGCCAAGTAAGGATACAACATGTCGGGATTCTCTTCTCCTCCCCAGGGCCACAACTGGTAAGGTCCAACAAAGCAATTCAATGTGCCCAGAGTCACGCATAAATAAACAGTTCGCCTAACAGAGGCGAACAAAAGCCATCTGTTCCACAAAGCTCTCGCTCAGGCATGATTCTCGTCTCCACATTTATAACGATAAAAACATGACACGGCTACGTAGAAATATCACAATTGATACGTAACAAAGTTGAAATTTGCTCATTTAGGCCCCATTCCGACTACGCCGGAGAAATTTGAAAATGGTGCTTTCCATCTGAAAACGCATCAAATGTTTTCCGTGCAGACTACACCGGATAAATTTAAAAACGCAACAATCACCGGTCATTTTGGATTTGTGTTTGAGGAAAACTCGGCCAGGGAAATCACATGATTATCGTGACCGCATCGTTTCCGATGAGCTCCGTTTTCAGAGTGTTTTCCGTCCGCTCTAAAACACAAAGCCTCCGGTTTGAAGAGCATTTTCGAAAAGCTCCGTTTTCGTGACGGATTCGTGTGGGGGGTAGGCCTAGCCGTAGAAATAAAGCTGCGTTTTCAAATTTCTCCGGCGTAGTGTGGACGCTGTCTGAAATACGCCGGAGGAATTAAGAAACGCAACAATCACCGGTCATTTTGGATTTGTGTTTGAGGAAAACTCGGTCAGGGAAATCACATGATTATCGCGATGGCATCGTTTTTGAAAAGCTCGATTTTCAAAATGTTTTCTGTTCACAAGAAAACGAAAAACAGACGTTTTCAAATTCCTCCGGTTTAAAGAGCGTTTTCGAAAAGCTCCGTACGTTTTTTTTTTTGGTGACGGATTAGTGTGGACGGTGAGCCTAACCGTGGAAATAAAGCTGCGTTTTCAAATTCCTCCAACGTAGTGTGGACGCTGCAGTCCTAATGTTATTTATCTCCTCGGAGGTCACGTGTCTTATTTGCATTATAATGAAAGCAAACATGGCGGCTATCGTGATTTGCCATCCCTGCCCCTTATAACCGCCAACTGTATTTACTGCTATTAAAAATTATGAAAGTCTTAGGTGATTTGTTGTTTTAGAATTGGTACCTCTCAGGGGTGAAAAATTTTCAAGACACTTCAAAATTTCCCACGAGCACCCCCGTCTTTTTTTATGGGAGTCTCCCCAGGGAGTCAGACTACTAAAGGATAACATGTTATAAAGTGTAAAGCAGTTCATGGGGATCTTGTGTTTCATTATTACTGTCGGGTTTATAACCAAGAAATGTGTCAGCACAAGCAGGCCAGTCTTGTTCGTTTAACATTTAATGTGCTGATGTTTTACCTTACATTCCACTACCATTATTATATAAACTGAATTGAATATAGGTAACTTGTGTAACTGTATTGCTTGTTTTGTTATAAAAAACGGAATTAAAGTCTTGGTAGTGGGTATTTCTTTCTTTTCAAGTCGTCATTTCCATCAGAGCACACTCGATAAAGCCTGAGAAAGAGAAACATCAGGTATTACAACTCAGATATATATACTTTCTTAATGCTTGGTTTGATCTGATATATTGTTTTCTTTCCCGTACTTTGTGAAAATAAGCCCTTGGTGTAAAATCGGATTTATAGATTTTGCTTAACTGGTAGGAAATAGAGGTACGTATACAAAACCAAAATAGTAATGTTACAACGCTCAGACCCGCAAGATTGGAAGAGAAAGGTTAACTAGTTGCCGACAAAATTGGTAGGAAAAGGTGCAAATTTGAAAGAGAGCGCAAGAGCTTTGAGAATCGGTCGGCACACCAACACCCAAATATCCGACGAGGTAAACTCCTTACTTGATTTGAGAAAGGATTGCACTGGAAGTTGGTATTTTTTTTGTTGTACTCTGAAGACGTGAGGTCGTTGGCTCATTTAGTCGTTCGTTCACTCGCTCAATCCAGTGTGAAACTAGATAATGTTTTCTCTCCGCGTAAGTTTTATTCCATTGCCGTAAAAGGACAGGTTTTTCTCTTTGGTGACCTATTGTCGACTTAGTCAAAAAAAAACAACAACAACAACAAACAACAACAACAACAACAAAAAAAAAACAGGAAATTACCTGCCTTAGCTTCTCCACCGCCATGACTGCCACTATCATCGATCGTCATCGTCACCACTTCCAGAGCCTGAGACTAAAAATATTAGCAAGATACAATGAAAAAACCCGTATGAAGGACTAAGATTATCTCTTCTTGTACGTTGCTGAAGTAAATAAAATTCCACTACGATTAGTTTTCACTTAGATATATATATTTAGTATCACCCAACTAGTGGACTAATACAAATCCTGCATTTTGATTGGCTACGCTACTAGAGGACTATTAGTAATAGTCCTCGAGTAG